AGGTAAGAAAAGTGTGCATTAAAAAATAACGAAATGGCAAGTAACTCAAAGTCTGTAGCGCCACATTTCACAATTTTCAAAATTTTCGGTTTAATGTGTATAGGTTTTGAAGCATTTAATTTTAAGAACTTTTTAAGTATGTATTGTATTCTACAAACAATTACTTTGGACACACTTCACTTGAAACTTTGCTTAAATTTTAATTATTTTATAAAATAGTCCCTGACTTTAGAAGATACTTTACTTACTTTAAAATTTTGCACATAACCGTTTTTTAATATTACCTTAACTATTCCATAAANGTAACTTTTTTTTAATATTACCTTAACTATTCCATAAAATCATCGAAATCGGTTCACTAAAACATCTAGCTCAGAGACGTTGTTTTGCGTTATAACTCCTCCAATTAAACAGGTTAAAATTTAGTATAGGTTCAATTTAACATATAGCACGCATACAATTTATTATTCTGGTAGGAAGTTAGTGTTATAGCGCAAAAACACATATCTAAGTAATAAGTTGTATTGGAGCTATATGTTAATGTGAACCTATTTCGATAATTTTAAGAAATAATTAAGGTAATATTAAAACACTGTTGCAAAATTTTAGTAAAATAACTTCAAAACTGAGGGAGTTATTTATAAAATAGTTAAAATTTAATCAAATTTTCAAGTACCATTATCTCGAAAACCGGAGCCAATCTGGTAAATCGGGGCATGCCATTGAATTTTGAACGTCCCAATTAAGTGAGTTCAACTTTCGAAATCTTTGCTCAAAGTTTACAACTTGAACAGCGTAATTTGAACCCAGCTTATTCTTTTGTTTTCTAGTTCATGTTTATTCCTCGTCTAACTTTTGAAGCACTTGATGAAAATGAATTACGCTTATATTAATCGATTTATTAAGAGATTACGAATAAAATGATATATAAAACATAGGTGTGCTCATGATAAAAACATAGCAAGGTAGAACCGTTCTCTCAATTTTTCGGCCATGATTTGTTTTGAAGTTTGCCAGCATTTTAAAATCATATAATATTGAAAATAAAAAAATGAAATTGTTGTTGCTTGAGATTGAAAATGTGTATGTGAGTTTGTGAGTAAATTTAAAAATTAAAACGTTTGGAAACGTCAAGAATTTTAAAAGTAACTCTCAGCGGTTCTACCTTACTATATTTTTATCATGGGTGTGCTCACAAATTTAAAAATTAAAATTTTTATTTTAAAAGTGTACCTATTTTTTAGATTTGCCCATATGCACTCTTTCGTATGAAAACCGAAATAATGCATATGATAAAAACCGAAATATTGCATACATGCACACTTTCGTTTGAAAACCGAAATAACGCATATGAGAGAAATATGAAGTAATGCATACATGCAGAGTTTCGGTTAAAAACCGAAATAATGCATATGATAAAAACCGAAATATTGCATACATGCACACTTTCGTTTGAAAACCGAAATAACGCATATGAGAGAAATATGAAGTAATGCATACATGCAGAGTTTCGGTTAAAAACCGAAATAATGCATATGGGTGTTTCCATACAGCCGTAAGCGACATTCGTACGCTTATAGAGTAACGTAAATCTATCAAAAATAGAAGTTATTGAAAATAAGGATTACGGTTATGTTGCAACCAAAGGGTACTATGTTTGAGAAAAAAATAAGCAGCCTCGAAGACAAGAAAAGAAGTCGTTCCCACGACAGTCGGGTCTACGTAACCGGAACGACCCAGATTTATATCTGGCCAAGGACTGTCACTCCAGCAACACTCCCCAAAACTCTATGGGGAACTTGTATGCTGCTACAACAACAACAAGAAAAGAAGTGGTTTTAAGGCACATATACATATATGCGAAAGTCTGGGAATCATGAGAGTTTTTCTTTTCTTTAAAAATTCCTAAACTAAGCTAAATAATGTACCTTTACAATCCTTCCATTTTTTGATAGAAATTATCTCTGGTTAGTTTTTATTAAAAAAAATATAATAACGTACGCGAAATAACGTACGCGACATATTTTTCCTCCATACAATATTTTTAATAGTAACACATACTAAATTAAATTTTTTCAGTTCTTCTCTCCACCGTTTCGCGTTTCCAAAACCTTTTTCCGCCATATGAATACGAAATTTAAAGTTATAAAGCCGTTTGAATTCATTTGCTTGCATTTTCGGTTTACATTTTCATGGAAACACGCATATATGCGAAAGTCTGCGAATCATGGGAGTTTTTCTTTTCTTTAAATATTCCTAAACTAAGCTAAATAATGTACCTTTACAATCTGTTGTGGATTGCGCTAGTTAAGCCTACTATTTAAGTTGTATACATATACCTGGTGTAAACTGACCATAACATTTGTACATGCTTTAGTTGGCAGCCCTAAACAATCGATAGTTGAGTAATTTGACATCTTGTTATTTTCTATTTTCACGAAATACGGTATTCTACCATCAAGGAATTTTGTATAAAAGCCAACCCAGGAATATAGTTTCTTTCTGTTTTATTGAAATAAACGTGCGAGTAGCACACATCACATCAAGCGGAGTTGCAGTCTTTTTAATCTCTAACATTTTGGTGCCTCCTGTGAGGACAAAAAAGAAGTAAGTTGTGTACAAGCACGGTATGGCGGAACTGAATTTGCGTTCATCTTCCGGGAAAGCGATTAAGCGCCTACATGCGCGTGTTTCCGAAGCCACCATCGAGACCTGGGATGTGTTCCAGCTCGAGCAAGAGTTGAGATCACTCGAGTCGCATTTTGTGAGATTTGTGGATAATCACAACCATCTTGTGGGAGCAGCGTCAGGAGAAGAGATTGGTCCACACGATGTGTTGTGGGAAAACGTCGAGCGGTTATATGGCGAGGCATGCAGCAGAATTAACCGCTTAGTTGCGTAATCCAGAGGGGCTCCTATGGCCATAGTAAGTGGTAATGGACCCAACTGCCCCACTTCGAATTTAGATGGGTTTTCATTGGATTTGAAACTAGACCCGTTGGCGATTCCAACTTTTGACGGCGATATGTGTAATTGGTTGGCGTTCAAAGATGCCTTCGAAACGCTCGTGCACCGGGCTTCTTATCCGGAAGCGTTCAAGTTGAGTAAATTGCGGCAGGCCGTTAGTGCGAGCAAGGTACCCTTGGTTGGAGGTATCTATTCAGGCGGATACGAGGAGGTGTGGAAGGCCCTGAAAGAACGCTTCGATAATAGGAAGCAGCTTGCGGAGATACATGTGGCACGTTTCCTAAACCTCAAAGCGGCTACCAAAGAAACATCTAGAGCTTTACTTGCCATCGTCGACACAGTGCATGAGTCGCTACGAGCTCTGCGTGTCATGGAAATCCCTGTAAACCAGTGGGATGCACTAGCTGTGCCTATTGTGGTGTCGAAACTTCCACACGCGACGAAGCGGGACTGGTGCATGAAGTGCAATTCCAATGAAATACCCAAACTGGATGACCTGATGAAGTATCTTGAAAGGCGAGCTCACAGCATATGTCTGGATCCATCAACTGCACAGTCGGCGCGACGATCGGTGAAATCAAACGTGGTCGCCACCGAAGCAGGACAGTGTGCACATTGCGGTGGAGCGCATCGAATCATAAGGTGCCCTACCCTCACAGCGATGAGTACACAGCAACGGTTTGATGCAGTGAGAAATCTTAAGCTTTGCTATAATTGTCTTCGAGCAGGTCATTCCTCAAGACAATGCCGGTCCGGTGGCTGCAGGAGTTGTGGTCGCAAACATAACACAATGCTATGCCGAGACAAATCTGACAACATGACCGTGCCTTCCTCTGCGCCGGCATCACCAGCACCGAAAGAGGAAACAGGTCAAATATCGACGAATTCAGGGTCATGACTAGCGGTACCTGCGAGAGCCTGCGTTGCCCAATTCCCAGCTGTCACTCTCCTTGCAACAGCGCGCGCATATGCATATGGAGAAGCATCAGTTCAGCGTGTGGCTCGTATCTTGTGCGATCCTGGATCGCAGGTTAGTTTCGTCACGGATCGCTTGGCAAACTCGTTGAAATTATATCGACGTAAATGTAATGTGAAGGTGGAAGGTGTTGGAGCTACAGTCAGCACCCGAGCCAAAGGAAGCGTAACGATCACTTAACGGTCAACAATTACAGAATTTGAGATGCAAATTGAAGCACTGGTTTTGCCGTCCATCACTTCGCTGACTCCTGCAGTTAAGGTTGACGTCACCCAGTGGCCACACTTGAAAGGACTACATTATGCAGATAGTGAGTTTGGTACACCTGGAAGTATTGAGGTTCTAATCGGCGCGGATGTGTGGGGGAGAGTTGTAGAGGGCGAAGTTATCGGTGGAAGACCAGACGAGCCCTTCGCCCAGCGTACCTGTCTTGGTTGGGTAGTATTCGGCCCGGTGTCATCGGCGTCCACTTCGAACTTGTCCTCGCTCACACTCAGCGCGTTGCTAGGTGAGGAAGAGGTTCGTCTGGAAGATCTGGTCCGGAACTTTTGGAAGATGGAGGAAGCTCCGGCTACTGAAGAGTTGCATGATGACGAGTGCGGTCAGATATTTGAAACTACGCATGGCCGTCAGTGTACGAAAATAAACTATATTGTACGTTACTATTTCGTTTCGTTTATTACTTTAACAGTTCGGTACAATACGAAACAAAACGGCTGAGTTCACTTTGGCGATAGTACACTACAGTAGTTTAGTAGTTACAGACGAAACAACAAACGAAATGAATCGTGCAGGGAAAATATATTTATGTATGTCCATATATGCAATAAACAAATACAAAACGAATGGCTGCAATGAATAAAAAAAATAAAAATGTTTTTTAATTGAATTGGATATGAAAATTTACAGAAAAAATTATTTTTCACGTAATTGAAACGTTTGCATACATATAAAACGTACCCTATGGTACAATTGTCACAAACGAAAAGCAAACGTTTCTCATTGGGGAAAATGACAGTGAATCTTACAATTTGTTTCTGACTATTTACAAAACTGTACAAAACCACAAATGATATGATGATCGATGAGCAAATGGGAATTGTTTTGTACAGTTTATTTTCGTACCCTGATGGCCGTACCCCCGATGGTCGTTATGTAGTGCAACTTTTTTGCGGCGCAAGGTCCCAGAACTTGGTGACTCCTATGCATACGCTGCGCGACAATTCTATTGGCTCGAGCGCCGTCTGATTGCGGATCCTAGTCTAAGGGAAAAATACGTGAGCTTTATGAGGGAATATGCGGAGCTTGGTCATATGGAGCGAGTGGAGCCACCACACAATCATAGCGGTTGCTACTACATCTCAAATCATGCGGTCGCTGTGAAGTTTCGAGTGGTGTTTAATGCTTCGGCGCCGACTACTACGGGCGTGTCCCTCAACGACATCCAGCTGGTGGGCCCAACGCTTCAAGACCCGCTGATCAACATACTTTTCCGCTTTCGGCGTTATCGAGTGGCGGTAACTGCGGACATTGAAAAGATGTTCCGGCAGGTCCTGGTTGCAACAGCGCATCGAGATTACCAGCGAATAATATGGCGCGAATCCCCCTCGGACGAGCTTGCAGTATACCGGCTGAAAACCGTCACTTATGGCATGGCTTGTAGTCCATAAAACGCAGTACCTGCATTACAACAATGCGCGAATGACAATTACCACGCAGTTCCTGATGAGCACCAAGCGACTGAAGCCCGAGAAGCAATTTTGAATGCATTCTACGTCGATAGCTTCTTGACAAGCTGCGAGGACGCTACCAAGGCCGTTGAGCTGGCCAAGTAGAGGCAGTTCTGGCTGCTGGGCAGTTTAAACTTCGGAAATGGAACTCAAATGACATTCAGGTATTGTTGTGTTTATCCAGTAATCCGTCTCTCCCTAGGTATGCATTCAATACGTCTGTGGCCCCGGTATTGGGTTTGAGATGGGACCCCGTGGCTGACCAGCTGTTCTTTCAAGTCAGGCTCCTACGAAGCGACGCGTGCTCAGTGAAGTGGCTCGGTTGTTTGATCCCACAGGGGTGTTATCCCCAGTTGTCATAACAGGGAAGATTTTTATCCAAAAGATGTGGGCTGCCGGTCTGTCATGGGACTCGCCGTTACCTGAGGATCTTCGTGATGAATGGCTCAATTACCGCTCCAAGCTGGGAGTCCTTACTAAAATCCGCATTGGCCGATGGTTGGGTATGGTGCCACATGCTCCGACAACATTGCATGGCTTTTGCGATGCCAGTTCACATGCTTACGCGGCCGTTATTTACACGGGCACAGCCGACGCTGATGGCACTGTGCGTTTCTCACTCCTTACCGCGCGAACCAAGGTGGCTCCACTGAATGGCGCTACAATACCACGCCTTGGGCTTTCGGCAGCGCTGTTGTTGGCCGAGACTCTTCGAAATGTACGTGAAGCCTTGAGTTTGGTTGAAGCCCCATACTTCTTATTGTCGGACTNGAAGGTGGCTCCACTGAAGCGCGCTACAATACCACGCCTTGGGCTTTCGGCAGCGCTGTTGTTGGCCGAGACTCTTCGAAATGTACGTGAAGCCTTGAGTTTGGTTGAAGCCCCATACTTCTTATGGTCGGACTCTGCGATCGTTTTATGCTGGTTGAAGAAGCAACATACCACATTGAAACCATTTGTCTCGAATCGGGTCCGAAGGATCCAGGAGTTGACTTCCGCATCACGTCCGCTCAGCAATGAACCCTGCCGATTGTGCTAGCCGAGGCATATCACCCGAGGAGCTGATGAGCCACCCGCTTTGGTGGCATGGACCTGATGGTACAGACGCGTACCCAGGTAGCCAAGAGATCCCCCTCAGCCACAACGAATCTAAGGCGCTCAGTTCAGAGGCGCGAATCGTTTCGAGCTTTACCAGCGCACTTTTTCACCAGCCACTGGAGACTCGGAGACCAGATGGGCAGGTCATGTTATTAGCAGAACGCTTTAGCTCGATTCAGCGATTACTGCGCACAGTAGCTATTATTCTACGTTGGTTGCAGAGACGCCGACATTTCCGTCAAGCGGTCATAGGAGCTCGGGAAATGGACGACGCCTTGGAAGTACTGATCCGTCTTGACCAACAGACGCACTTCATGGTCGAGATTAAGCAGCTGGAAGCCGGTTCAGGTTTGTCATCTTCACGCGATTGCTCTCACTAAGTCCATTCCTAGATAAGAACCACATCCTGCGCGTCGGAGGGCGGATCGAAAACGCAGAGTTGGGACATGACCAGCAATTTCCATTGATTCTTCCGAAGTCTACCCCGCTCGTTAAGCTTTTAATAAAACAAGCCCACGAGACTACGCTCCCTGGAGGGGCGCAGCTAATGCTACATACCCTTCGCCGCAAGTTTTGGATTCTGCATGCGAGGCAAGCCGTCAAAAGTTTTGTTCATAAATGCGTAGTGTGTCGTCGTCATCGAGGACTGAGGTTCAAGCAGCAAATGGCTCCATTACCCGGGCAGAGAGTCAAGCCTGCACGACCATTTGTTTCGTCGGGAGTCGACAACTGCGGCCCGTTTACGCTGCGAATCGGAACTAAGCGCTCTCGCACTCTCGTTCCATGAAAATGTCAACCAGGACTGAAAAAATAAAAAGAACTGAAATGGGTTTTTATGACGAATTAATAACAGTAAAATACTCGAATTTTTATATTATAGAAGTATTTCTGCTTATTGCAATTTTAAAACTCAAAAATTGAAGAGTAAAACTGAGTGTCTCTTAGACTCAGTTTTCTCTAATGAAATTAACTATTTTCTCTTTCCTATTAACTAAATTAAGAGATTTGAAACATTACAATTACATTTTAAAATCAAATTTGCAATAACAACTAACTATAAAAATGAGAAAAAGGAGAAGTTAGAGCTCGGTTAACGGTAATTTTTTGATTTGCTTCTGATAGTATTCTAATGTCGCGTACGTTATGAAAAAACATTGTTTGTCGATGTCATTTGTATATTGGCAGTCGCAGGTAATGCAGATTACAATTCTTAAGCGAGAATTCTTCCAGTTAAAGATATACAGTAAAATTTTCTTTCCAACCGAAGTAAAACAAATTTTATTACCCTTTAAAGTTTGTCGCATACGTTATTGTAAGTACGAAAATTTCAATCAAATACATCAAAACCAATGTTAATTGCAAATTTTCCATTTAAATTATTTAGAATAGTTGTAAAACAATGAAACGGTGGCGAGAAG